CCTGCTATGGAGTCTGTGTGCCACCCACCGGGATGTACCAGGGAATAACCCTCACCTCCTGCTCCCTCTCCACACGGGCGTGCTGTGCTGCCAGAGCCGTGCCCACTGCTTTCACAACAGCCTGAACTCAGGGCTGTGACTTCACACACAAATTCATCTCCTCAACACATCCCCCATGCTCCTGCTGTGTAAGCCTAAAACCTAAAACCTTGCAGCGCAAGAATTAATTATTAGTAAGGGAATTAAATATTAGTCTGCATTACAGTAAACATTAGTCATATATTAACAGGATCATTAGCTGTTCATTAGCTGTTTAAGCTCTTCAAAATCCCCTTTGTCACACGGCAGGTTTGTGTTAAATATCTGTCTCAAATGACCTGAAGTAAGTGTCCTTTCACCTGTTGTAAAAGCATCACAAATTCCAGAACCAGTTTAGTTATTTTGCTCCTTTGGTTATAATCTTCCCTTCTATGTGACTTGATTTAAATTCAACAACAGTGAAGACATATGATTGATATAGAGCCATGAAAATCTCCCAAGGATGGAAGGCAATGATTTCCCAAAATTATATATGATCACTGAGGCAATCATCTTTTCTTTATTTCCTGTTGCTCTTGTGCTGCCAGCATCAGGCATTGGCAGATCTCATCCCTCACTGAGGAGTATATGCCCTACAAAGAACATGGACTAAGAGAAGGCAGAGCTAATGAGTATATTTTCACTCTAGTAAGATTCAGAACTACAGCCCCAATTTTGTCCCCTTCATTTCAGGTCATTAAGGGAAATCACTGAATTTCTCTGCATCTGCATTCCTTCACTGGAAGCTAAGGCCATTTCATGTCCCCTGTGCAATCATCATCCTTTCTCAATTAAAATGTAAGTTCTTGAGGCAGTAGTTTGTGCAGGCTGCTGTCCAGCACAGCTCTGCTCCCTGCAGGGTTTACAGCCCAGCCACAGCCAAGGTGAAATAGGAGTAACGGGACCTGCTGCCTGCAGCATCCAACACTGGAGTGGTGAGAGATCTGTGGCCAAAGCAGGGGCAGAACTGTTTTTCAGGTCACAAGGAAAGTATTTATAGTGTCTGGAGAGAGGAAACACCTACCCTGCCCATCTGAGCCCAGCCTGCCAGCCTGGGCTATGAAGCTGTGGCTTTCCTTTCCCTGCCTGTTGTTCAGTGAGGGAATCCAGCTGAGGAATGAAATGCCCTGAACGACACCTGAGGAATGAAATGCCCTGAATGGCACCTGAGGAATGAAATGTCAGGCTCCTCCTGGGCCTGGCAGGCAGCAGAGGGGTTGTGTGGCAGGTGCTGCCCACCGTGCAGGGCTGGTCCTGGCTCATCCCTGCAGCCCAGGGCTGCAGCCCAGACCCGGCCGTGGTACAGCAGAGATCTGCTCTCAGCTGGAGCTGTGTTTGGAACCCTGTCCGTGCTGCTCAGCTCTCCTGCCTTTGTGGTGATGGACTGTGTCCTGGCTTGTCTTTACTGAGTGATCATTAATTTCTTGTGTCTTTTAATTAGGGCAATTTCTTTTGGCCTGCTGGAAAAGCTTTCCTCACACAGATTAATTAAAAATAAAGCCTAGCTCTGACAATTTAATATGAGCTCTGGTCAGGATGCAGGCAGTCTTGTAAGCCACTTTTCATGACACCATTCTTCTTAATATTTACTTTTAAACTATGTTTTTAAACTATGTTTTTTGGGAACCGAGGACAGTATTTGTTAGTCATTCTCCACAAAGTTACAGGCAAAATTAATCCAGCTGGAGAGCAAAGATGTGCATGAAGCATCACATCTGCCCTGTGGCTGCACAGCCCATCCCTTGCTGCTGAAAGCAGGGGCACAGTGCCAGATGCCCTTGGGCAGCTCCTTTGTTTTGGGACTTGCACCTCTGGGGAGCAGAGGTTTAACACCAGGCAGTTCAACCCCATGAAATACCAAGTCCTGTTAATTCTTCCTGCTGTTTCTTCCTCTCTGTTAGCAGCAGCTGACTTGGTTTGGCCTTTGCAAGGTGTGGAACAACTGTCTAGAGACTTGTGCAGTTAATAAATCAATACTGGCTAGTGAATGACTTTGTTCTGATCTTCCTCAGGGTGTCTATTTAAGTTCCAGTTTGATTGGCTTGTGGTATTTGCAGAATTACAACAATCTCTAGGAGAATATTCACCTTTGTGTGGATGACTTCAGATTAGTTTCATTTTTATGTGACCTCTCTTATTTCCCATAAAAAGTTATAATTCTGTATGTACAAATGATTTGGGCAAAGTTCCATCCCTTCACAGTATGAATTTGTCCAAGGGATACTAAAACCTACATTACAAAGCTACAGGTCAGAGGTGTTATAGGCTGGATCAAATTCAGCCCAGCAGGTGGCTGATGTGACACTGCACGGCCTGGAGGTGCCCCTGGAGATGGGAAATGGGAGCCCACATGTCTCAGGTCTAATCCAATCTGGGGCTCACCTACCTTGATTTTTCTGCTTCAAACTCTAAATTCTGTCAGGATTCTCTTTCAGTGAAGCTTCTTAATTTTAACTTCTTATGACCTTGGAGAATAACTCTGTTTCTGCCGACAGGCCATTAATACACAGTGAGCAACTTCCTTGGGTGTGTTACTGGGACCAGGTGAGAAAAGTGCTCTGATGTAGTGGGATTTTGCTTGTCATGAATATTTATATAAAGTCTCTGTACTTTGATACTTTCAAGAATGTAAATGCAAAAGGGGAGGAAGCTTTTTTTTTATATATATATATATAAATGCATCTTTTAGTCTACTTTTGAAGTCCTAGTGAATATTGTGCTCTTTCTTGGCAGATTCCTGAGTGAGAGCAGCACACTAACTCCCTGTGGCAGGACTGCACTGCTTCACCTGTGCAGAGGCTGGAAGGACAGAAACTGATGGGCACAGCTGTACCTTCACCTGGGAGCCAAAAATTCAGCAGTTATCCACAGTAGGGTGTTCTTTGTGCTGACCAGAGCATGCACTGAATGCAATATTTATCAGGAGAACAATATTCCTGTAGGTGTTGCTGTACTGTAGATCAGGCATTTTGCTGAGCTGCATTTAAATATACAAAATATAAGTGCATCTTAGGACTTCAGCTAAATCTTTTTGCAGGACTTGCATTCAATATAATGAGAAATTTAAATTACATTGGTCCTTGTAAGTTCTACCTAAGACAATTTTCCTTAAACCCCTGAAACAGGAAATGGGAAGGGTGAAGGAATACTTTGATCAGGAGCCAGATGTAGACCTGTAATAAGATTAAATTTTAAGACAGTGCTGTGACAATAGCGTTGGTTTTTCAAATGGAAAAAAAGTTTTACACAGTGGCTGGAAAAGTGAGTAGGGAGCAAGTAGTATTGCCATGAAATATATTCTTTCTTCTTATGAGGACAGTCAAAAGATCAAGCAAATATTTCACTCAGTGTACAACAAAATATTATGAGGTAATTTTATTTTTTTTCCATTTTTAGGTAAAAATATTACAGTATACAAGATAATTTTATTAAAGGTAAAAATACAGTTTTTTCTAAACAGAACTACGTACAGTACACTTTTTTATTTTGTTTTCTTTTATTTTTGTACAAATATAACTATTATTCTAATAGGCTATATGTATTCTCATCTGGCACTTAAGAACTGATCACAGGTCACCTTCTGGCTCTGCTTGTTTGTCTCAGCTGAAACCTAGATGTTATGTTCATTTTATAGGTGTCTCATGTAAACAAACAATCCAGTTCCATGGTTCCCAAGTAGTAAGGTGTGCTTTAAGTAGTTGAAATCTTGTAGCCAACCATGAAAACCCAAGCCATCCATGTTTGCAGTTGTGTTGCACAGACTTACAACTTTCCTGTTGAAAAAGTGTGATCCTTGTATTACCACAGCCTTAGAACAGTTTGAATCCCTTTCTCATCCTCTGTAAGAGCCAAAAACATGACAACAATTTCTACAATGATTTTTCCTTTATTTTCTTCTTCTTTTTTTTTTTTTTTTTTTTTTTTTTTTTGGTCAGTCTGTTCAATTAAAGCCTTTTTGTATTAATTTCAAGGCTGGAAACTACTGGGCAATGTTCTTCATGATTGATCTCTCCCTATGGCTTGCAGTTTGACCTCTGGAATCTGAAAGCTGAGCTCAGTTGCATTGCTGTCTCTGGATTAATGCTGTTCTTTGAGCTGAACACATTAGGAAAAGGTATTTTATCTCTGGGTATTCCTGGGAAGTGAGTTTCACATCATTACGAGTATCTCAGTACACTGTTGTCGGAGATGGGATCGACTAAGGATAAAAGAGAGGCTAAGTGCATACAAAGAGACCATATCCATCAGCAGACTAGCTAATACAGCTGAAGAGGTGGACAGGAGTGTTTGGCTGGAAATCCTTTCATTAGGTTAAAGGATATTTTACCCCACAATCTTGATTTCATTTTTCCAGTGTTGTCAGTGTCTAGTTGTTATTCACTGCCTTGGTCACTTCAACAGATGGTTTCTCATTAGTTTCTCATTAGCCACAGTGCTCATTAAAGTTATATTCAAGGTTGCCAATGTAAACATAAAAGGAAAGTACACACCCAAGAAAAGGAATTGTAAAATTTTTGCAGGTATATGCTTGGCACATTTTTTCTTCAGACTTCACTCATTTGTGGTCAGTACAGACTGTTGGTGTTAATGAGCACAGTTACATTGTCTTCTCTGGAGTTAGATGAATGAAGATCTGACTTTTTTTTGCCTTTAATTGGAGGTGCCTTCTCTATGGTACATATGTTTCTGATGTCAAGGGGCATAGATTTTTACCATTAAGTCACTTTCGTGTCAGAAAAGATTTAACTGGTCACTCTCCAAGTGCAGGAGAAATGCAAAGTGCTCCTGACACTCCTCACACTTGCTTGTCAGCAGAAGCTGAGTGTGCTGTACCCATCTTTCACATGTTTTTTGCCCTCCTAAGATGCTGGTTGAGAATGAACAATGTTCAGAAAACAAGTTGTCTTTCTCTGTATTCACCATCAAATGTCCTTATTTAAGGTCTTCCCAAACTTGTCACTCAGCTGCTGTATTAGTTTTGCCAGCTCACCAGTAGCTTGGGACTTTTCCTCTAGGAGTTCATAGCGGAGACTGGAAATATCTTGTTTGATTTCTTTAAGTTCTCCTGAAAGAGGAAAATGTTCTTGTTAGCCATACTGAACCAAGTCACTCTGTTTCCAAGACCAAAGAAAGTAATAATTTCAGTGTGTTTGGTCAGGAATGTGTGTGGAGCTGCATTTGATCTCCCTGCATAACACTCTGAATATCTGTAGTTATAAGGAATCACCTCTACTTCCAGTAGTGGTACCAACAGCAACAGCAAACCTGTGTGGAGAGTTCATACTTTCTCATTTTTTGGTCTCTCTCCACAAATTGGTCTCCACCTACATAGGGTATTTGCAGGAGGGTAGCATTTAAGAGGTGTTAGAGGCTCTTTTCCATCTGCACACAAATTCCACACACCACCACAGCAATATGAATCTGGATCCCATTCAAAACAGTGTCCTTGGGGCAGGCCTGGGCAGTGCAGTCAGAAAATGCTTTACATAGACACCAAGGTGATGCTGGGTATTGGCAATACCCTGGTATTGTAAAGGAGGGAGAGTTAGAGCTACAGGGGTGAGCAGGGCTGGGTGAAGATCCTGTGAGATGTGTGTTCTGCTAAGGGAAAAAAAGGACCTGGAATTTCAAGGGCACAAGGGTGGCCCAGAGTCAGCACTGCTCACCTGAGCAGTGAGCACGAGCAAGCTCTCACTACAGAGGATCTTAACTAAGCTCAACCCTCGTACAGGCCAGATCAGCAGCAGTAATAGCACATGCTTGTTAGTGGGTCAATTATAAAATTCCACTTGCCTTCATTGACCTCGTCATTTTCCCGGTCAACCTGAGCCTTCAGCACATAGCGCTTAATCAGACGCTTCATTATCTTCTGAAAGGAGAACAGAAACACTCCTTTAGTGGCAGACTGTCCACATTCCAGACTTATTATGAGAAATTCAAACATCTGGTTTCACTAGGGATATTATTATTATTATTATTATTATTATTATTATTATTATTATTATTATTATTATTATTATTATTATTATTTCCCATTTATTTCCCATTTTATATTGTGAACTTTGTACTACAGTAGCTGATTGACAGCCATTCCATCACGACTCCACATATGAAGCACTTTGGGGTACTTTGTGGGATGCATGTGAATGTAGAGCATGTCCCACAGACAGAAAGAAAACACAGATGATCCAATGGAAAGCTAAGGAAATAGGTTCCAGAGCCTTCTTTTAGCATGTTGGTGTCTAATAGTACTTTACAGGAAGAAATAAGTGGTTAATTAATGATGTTAGCAAACTCATTCACAGTGCAGCTGACCTGAGGTTCACAGAAAGACTGCTAGCCTTGTCATTGGGTTTTTAAGAGAAAATAAATTTAGAGAAGGACAGAGAAAAGAGAGGCTGAATGAAGGTGGGGAACTTGGCTCAAATGTGAAAAGTTTCTTACAGAAATGGTGGATTTTAAGAGACATATATAGTGAAAAATATAGAGCCATGTAAACTTACAAAATGGAAGATGACTGTTAGGAAGAGTACATATGGAATTAGATGATGGTTATGGATATGAGCTTGCAATGTGCAATTGTTCCAAGAATGTCTAAGTTCCATTTATCTACAAGGAAAGTAACTTTGGCAGTTGTGGGCTGCACACTGGGGTACAGCTGATAGCCACATCTTCACTGCAGAAAAGACACCCCAGTGGGGGAAAAATATAAAAACCTACGAAGGAAAAAAGATATAAAAATATATAAACATAAAAAGAGCTGCTCTCTCAGAGACAGATATTTAGATCCATCCTCTGCAAACACAGGAGAGCTCAGTATGTTTGATTGACCAGATGTCCAGTATTAAGGAAAAAGCCTTTGACAGCATGGACTCACTTCTTCACAGAGCAATCAGATCTCTGCTTGGAACATCACTTAAAAATGCTACGTAGGGTGTGAAGGATTAAGGAAATAGTACACCTGCTCTTTTTTCTGAGTAGCCAAATAAGGATTATAGCAGTGCAAAAGGCTCGTGAAGATCAAAGAAGGATCCAGTCATTTGTATATGCCATTCAGCCATGGAATATGGGATGACTAAAACTGTCCTTGTATGTCAGAGGCATCTGGCTAAGCAGGTGAGTCACTAAGGCAACAGAGATGAGGCACAGTGCACGTACGGTGTGTTGGAGATGGCCAAGGTAGCAGAATCCAGAGGGAAGTAGGGCTGTCACCTGAGAAAACATAAATGAAGTAATGTTTGGGGAAAGTAGGGAAATCCTGGATCCAAAACTAAGTAATTTTTTTTCAAGAGCAAAAGTCAGAAGAAATTTAGACTAAAACAATGACTCAGAACACAGGCTCTTATTACCTGGAAAAAAAATGATGTATCACCTCTCTTTATGCCAGTTCCCATATTCTCTTTGACAAAGGTATAGTTTTCCCTAGACTAGTTTATTCCCAGATCATGGCAGCTGTGTTGACTTGTTTCTCATGCTTTTCAAAATGTTTAAATTCTGTATATTTTTGTTATTCTTCTAGAGCACTGTCCATATGTAGTCTTAAATACACAGACTGCACAGGCTGCAGACACATCACTTGATAAACACTGGAGAATGATAAATGCTGCAGAAAACAGTTCAGCAAGAAGGTTTTCAAAGGTTTTCCCAGTTGTAGAAGAAAAACTTGCCAGCCAGATTACCACACTGTTCCTTCTTCTTTATGTTTAGATAATCAAGACTATTATACTCTCCTTATACTATTTGGGCAATTTCTTCCTGCACCAAACAAGATGTTCTAAGGTAGTTTGAAGAAGAACCTGGCATTTTAAAAACAAAATAACAGGTACTTATTTTTCTATTTATCTTTCACAGCCGCCTTTGGCTTTTTCAGTGTTGTAAATAAGGGTCTAATTTACCACAAACACTAGGTGGTCTCATTGAGAAATAATAGCTACAGGAAAAGAGCCTGACACATCACCTGTGGGTTTGAACAATGGGAATGTGTCAGAAGAACTGAAATGCTACTTTGAGCAGGACACAAACCCTTTTCCTTTGATGGAATCAAGCCAACTAACTCCAGATATCAGAGTGAATGTATCCCATTTCTAGCTTAGATTTTTAGACACCCCTCCTATTGTTGCAGAAAAGTCTGAAAATATTTTAAAACCACTAGAAATTTCTTACTGGTCTCCTAAACAGTTTGGGAGCCCATTATGCTGGAAGCTGTACCAACACAAGACAAACCACTTCTAGAACTGCCACCGCACATTTTAGCCAATTTAACTATGATTTTCCTCATCTGTCTTTAATGTCTGTCCCTTCAGACACAACACTTGTCATCAGATTCTTTTTCACTTTATGTTAAAAAAGAAGGCAAAACTCCTGGGGGGCACAGTCTGTTTACTTTATTGCCTAGCACAGGTTTGCACAAGAAATAACACATCTGCTGGCACAACACTCCTGCTGGACAGACACCTGTGGCTCCCTGTGCCACCTCTGCAGCCACAGGGGTTCTGAACCATAGCACATTGCAGGTTTAGCTTTGCAGGATGAGCCAGAGGAAGCACATGCAAATGGTAATGCAGCAGCTGGAGAGATGACTCTGAGCCCTGGGAAATGAAATGCTGTCAATACAAGATGCGAGGAGTAAGGTTGGGTGATGTATCCTGTATTAAGTTCAACACCCTCGAGTGGAATTAATTAGCATGACAAATGCTAACGTGCATATTTCCGGGGGTGAGAGGCTGCCTTTGTCTCTGAAATACCCCAGCCCAGCCCTGTGCCAATGCCCAGCCTGGCACATCCCAGGGTGGCAGCCTCTGCGAGAAGGCAAACGTGACCCTTGCAGACCTCTCCCCTGGCTCTTGCTTTCATGCTGTGATTACCTGGTATCTTGTGGGCTTGTTATAAGCGTTCTTCCCAGAAAAACTCTCTGTGTTTTGAATGCTAGAGTGAAAACGAACTTTCTGAAATTATAAAACATCATGATATGATTAAATCAATGATAGCTTCTCATACCCAGACAGCCCCAAACGAAGCTTTAGGAAAACATTACGAAATGGTTTGATGTACAGTAAAAGCCAGAACATTGAGGCAAAAAAAAAAAAAATTTGGAAGACAGAAAAGAATATAAAAACCACACAAATTAATGAAAAAATCTAGATTCTAAATTATCTGGGCAGGAATGGTATTCACACAAAAGTTTTAGACAACAAGGTGTTAAGAGTCACAAAATACTTTTATCATAATGAGGCTGATGCTTATCAATTTAGAACACAAGAAAGATTACTTCTATTTGGAATGAACAAGACTGTGGTACAAAACCAAATTCTGAAACACAATCAATTTCCACTGGTCCTTTTAAAACAGCAGTGCTCTTTGCTACTTCTTTTGGCTCAAGAAAAATATGTATTTTTTTTAAATAGACTATTTTATTTTTATCAGAGGCATCACAGCTGTAAAAGCTTCCAAGGAAAGTTTTCTGGACACTACATACAATATTTGTTGGAGGTTTCTTTGACTGTAATCCACCTCTGAGGTTTTTGGTCCAAGACTAACAAAAAAAAAAATTAAAAAAAAATCACTTATTCAGAGGAATAAATATCATAGGCTTGTGCACCTATATGGAATTCTATGTAGAGGGGAGGCCCCTGGGTAAGGGCTTTTCTTCCCCAGTTGAACCAGAGATCCCAATTATTTTTTTTCTTCCAAATCAGGATGTTTATAATTATTAGATTAAAAGTCTGAAGTAATAATGTAATTTTTAAAAAAATTTCTTTCTTACTTACAGGTGTGCCATTAGCTTACAGAGACTCTTGAAGATGATATGTGAACAAAATCAACAGGCAAGCGAGAAATGTCTGATACTCTTAACTGTTTATGCTAAAGCCATGGAAGATATGAATTTTGCATGAGTTCCATGAAAAAGGGCAAGCCAGACATTTTCACTCATCTGGCTTGGGGAAGGAGAGGCTTAGAGAAAATTTTATTACTTTGTTTTAGGCTTTGAAGCAGAAATTAAATTTCAAACAAAGTCAGCTTAGTGAGGTCTGATTCAAATAACATTTAAAAAACATTTTTAAATCATTATTTGAGGTAGTTGAAGGAGAAACACTTCTTTCATTTTGAGACTCCACTGTTCTAGTGGTTCTTCCAGTAATCAATAGCAGTGTTAAATGCGTTTGTAGACATGCTTGTCTATCTTGGCAATGCTCCCCATGTTGGTAGTTGAATTATTTGATAATACAGAGTAAACCCCATGGACAGATTTCTCTTTTCAGTTTAGGTACTGGCAGAGACTGGGTGAGCACCAGACCTGAGCAGTTCTCTCAAACTCCTGGGAGGATGAGCCATCCTCCTTGGAGGCCATCGGCTTTGCCTGGAGCTGGACAGCTCAGTTGTTTGCTCCTCTAAGAGATCCAGGCAGACCTTAAAGCAGCCTGCATGTCCCAAAGGCAAACTCTGCAACTTCCCTTCCCTTCTCCTCAGTCTGTCTTTCAAGGTCACAGCTGATGGTGGCCTGCACACAGGAGAGTGTCCCCATTTCTCCCCTCCCAGGTCAGCATCACGCAGCTCTGCTGGGAGAGCCTGCAACAAGGGGCCTGAGCCAGACAAGCCGTGAGCCTGTTTGTGCCTCGGCTTCTGCCCCTCTCTTTCACCTTGCTCATTTGGCCTTGGAGTGCCTGCTTTTACAAAAGTTTAAAGAATGCCTGCTTTTATAAAGATTGCCCTTTTCCTTGTGCCTGGTGCAATGAGGCCACTCCTTTGGGAGGACCTTCTGCTTGCAATAACGAGTCCTGTGAACAACATGCAATGATGAGGCCTGTGAACAACGTGCAATGATGAGGCCTGTGAACAACGTGCAATAACGAGTCCTGTGAACAACGTGCAATAATGAGGCCTGTGAACAGCATGCAATGATGAGGCCTGTGAACAACGTGCAATAACGAGTCCTGTGAACAACGTGCAATAATGAGGCCTGTGAACAGCATGCAATGATGAGGCCTGTGAACAGCGTGTAATGATGAGGCCTGTGAACAATGTGCAATGATGAGGCCTGTGAACAGCGTGCAATAATGAGGCCTGTGAACAGCATGCAATGATGAGGTCCTGTGAGCAGCTGTGCTGTCCCTGAGGTCCCTGTGTGCCATGCAACCCCCTCCAGAAGCTCCCTGGAATGAATCCTTTCCACGAAGAAGCTGAACAGTGGAGATAAAACATACCCGTTTTTTGGAATTCAGCATCCCCATCTCAAGGTCATTTTCACAGTTTTTGGCCTTAGATTTGCAGAGTTTTATGAGGCACATTTTTATTCTCAGTATGAGATAATAAAATGATTTAGGGCTTGGCACTAGATTAAAAGGAGCAGGTAAAGTCCTTCCTTCATCAAAGTAGGATAGCCAGAGCTTGGCACGTGCAAACTTCCACTCCACATCCGCATCCTCCTTGGGAAGGGAAGAAGGAAAAACAAATCAAAACCCAAATTAGGAAATAGAAAGGAATTTAGCTATGACCAGGACAAACATACATGTAGGAGTTAATTACAACCAGATTCTGCCTGCCAGAACAAGGCCCCTGCACAAAATGTGTATTTGTAGGCTGCTCTGTGATAATCTCAAAACAAGGAAAATTTAAACTGTGATGCAGAAACAGAGCATATGTGCCTTCCAAATATTAGACTGTTTCCTTGTATATCAAAGGGGTTGTCTCAGTAACAATCTGGGGTTTTTTTGCTATGCTGATAATTGAATGTGTCAGAACATAGAGACATGGAAAGAAGAAGAAACTTTCATGAGCACAGCAACAGCAAAGACTGAGATGAACTGCAAGGCTCTGTGTCATCTGTTACAAGATTGTTACCGTCCTTGGCCAGGAATCCCCTTAGGGAGGCTCAGACGCTGCTTTTTCTATCATCAGCTGATTTCCTCTTAGATCCTGTCTGCATTCACCATCGTGTATCCCTACACACCTTAATTCTCCTACTATTCACCTCCTGCCACTGATGAAGGTGGAGAAAAGCTCCATCATTCAGTGTCTGTGAATCTCCTTTATGAATGTCAAAGTGGGCCAGGATCACTTCCAAGTAACAAGGGCAAGGCTAGGAAATATTTTATGGAGGAAATCATTCACTTGGCATTTATACAGCAGGATGATCAGGGCCATGTATCAGGAGCATTTATCAGGCAGACAAAAGAATGAGATACAGCTGCTGTACTGTGTTCACTGGTTTACATGGAGGGCAGAAGCAGCAACAGAGGTGTGGATCTGCCAGCTCCCTGTACTCGTGTACATCTGTGTTCTGCTGGAATTCATAACCTCTGATTACCCTGTACCTCTAGAACCTGGTCAGGAACTGGCATGACACCATGGAGATGATTTCTGCCACAGTTACAGCAATGTGTCTTCACCAGAGCAGCAGCATTCACTTCTGCCATCTCCTGTTCTCACGGTTTGGGATTGCACCTCACAGAATCCTTCAGGTGAATTACAGAATAAACCACTAGTGAACAGTTCTAATGCCTTTCTGTTAAGCAGTTAAAAGTACTACTGATGGGAGCAGTTCTCTTTCATGGCTAGCAAAAGGACTTTTTTCCATAAATCCAAATTTGTCAGGAAGAACCAATACCTGATAGTATTTTGATAAACAAAAGAGAACCAGAAGCACCTGAAGAGAGATGTTAAATGGAAGGCAGGAAAATACAGTCTTGTCACTCCAACTGATAATAAACCATCTGCCCACTGACCATAAAGGAATTTAATTCCTAAGTAATGCCCATCCTAGGACCTTATTCACATTGCTCTGGTCAGATAAACACTTTGGCAATAGGCACTTTCTCTGCAATCATCACAATCCCTGGGGATATTGAAAGATGTGTGGATGTGGCACTTGGGGACACGGTTTGTTGGTGGCTTTGGCAGTACTGGATGAATGGTTGGAGTTGATGATCTTACAGGTTTTTTCCAACCTACGTGACTCTGATTCTATGACTCTCTTTAATCTCACTTCTAGTGAGTACTGAACTGAATCAATATGAGAAGAATTCGTTTTTCTTCTATTAGGAGGATCTGGGCCAAAGAGCCCACACTTGTTTCTCTTGCTGATACTTACAAGTAATCTTTAATAAAATTTTGAAAATTTCCATGCAATCAAGAAGGATGATAAAGTAATTTGCCAAGAAAATGGCCATCACAAAGTTTAAACTGGAAAGTTAATATAGGACATCTATTCAGATATTTTCAGATATCTTTTTTTCTTCAAGAGCATATCTGTCTACTACAATAAACAAGAAAATGCAGTAAGAGTTGAGACCCCTTCTGAAGCAAAGCTTGTTTCAGTTGAATAGGATTCAGGGAATTGCTTGATCCTAAGTGATTAGAAACCTTTGGAGAAATGACTCTGCTTTCTGCAGTCCTGAAAGATTCTGGGACAGAGAGCATATGTAAGGTCTCTCTGACATTTAGACTGAGTTACAGCATGCACAGAATAGAGTTATATTTGTACTACAGTTCATGGATGAATCAGACATTACAGTGAGAAAATATTTTCAGCCCTGGCCTTTTTCAATGTCAGGTTCTGAGGGGAGATTAGGACAAGTAATTAATACAAACCCAACTGCAGAAGTTTGACATTTAACAAATTAGAAGTAAAAGGTGACTCAACATTAACATTATCCAAATAATGTATTTTTTTCTGCCTTTATTTAGAGTATCAGGGAATTGTTTATGTCTAAAGCATTTAGCAAATCCACTCTGCTAATAGCCACACTACTGAGCAGGGCTGGGTAAACCCTGCAAATGCCTTTCTGCATAAATCTATTGATATTCCTTGAGGGCTCTGTTTATATACTTTAAAAGATGTTTTTTGTAAATGTCCACAAAGTCATGTTTTGCAGACCCCAGAGACTCCTCAAAAAAATTGTATCAAATTTTATGCCTGGTAATTGGAAAATATGGAATTTCTAAACGTTTTTATGAATGCATATGAGCTTCAGATCTACGTGGGCTGGAGTGTTTAAGCAGTAGAAAGCAGGGTAAAAAATCAGAAGAAATATTACTCTGTCATAAGTAAGCAATGCAGCCAAGGCAACACACATGGATAAATTATCCTAACTAACAAAGGGATTGAAAAATATCACAAACCACTTCCATTAAATATATATAGGGGAAATTTGATTTACTCACAGAGGTTCATTAGAAAACAAGGAAGCTGAAATAGGTATTGAAATTATTCATTTTTGGTTATTAAGTCAATCATAATTTGGGGACAGACTCAGCCTTAACTCTTAAACCATGTAAGATGTTTCCAGGATTCTAACCTTGGATGTCGAGTAAGCTACGGCCTACTTGGGTTTTTAGCATTTTCATTATCAGTAACAATTAAGCACATTGAGTTTGTAATCTGATTTATCTTACCTCAATTTCCTGATAGGAGTTGTTGATCATGGCTATTAGCATATTAAGCAGCACAACCACCATAGTCACGTTATATACTCCATAGAGTACATATCCAATATTCTCAATGAATTTATGGTCGTACTTCAGCACCACAGATATCACTTCAGATAAGCCAAATATTGACCAGAATAAGGTTTTAAAACTTTCTTCTACCCTAGAAATAAAACAAACAACCAGTTTATAGAGTTGACATCGGGTTAGCCAGGCCAGATGCTAATAAAAAAAGCAGCAATTCACAAATATAAATATGTCTTGGCATAGTTATTGCAACCCATTATCCATCACCCAGGGATGTGCCAAATCATATTTCCTGATTTGATAAAGAAATATGATTTCTGATTAATACTACAAAGTTACAGTGTGCCTTGATTTGCTCCATCTATTCTTATCAGGTGCATTACACTTGGATTTTGTGTCCCTAATAGGGATAACAAATCCATGGGCAACTTGCAGTTTGAAACCTTTTATGTAGGGCTTTTGCTTCTACACACTCACTCTTTTTTCATCCTGAGAAGATAGAACCAAGTCTGACCTCCTTCTATGCAGTTTCCAGGGCAGAAGAGAAGTCTTTTACCCAGGAGAAGAGATTGAAAAGTTCTGCTTTGTGGCATTAATATAAAGAACACAGAGTGCAAATATAGTCAGACCATAGTCTGATTTTCTTCCCATTCTGCTTTTGGACTGCAAACATATCAGACACCCAAGCATTTGTAGGACAAAAAATGGATTTAAGGAGTGGTAGAAGATGTTGCAGAGAGGCATTTTGATTTGATTATTATCCTTGCTTGAAAGTAGAAGAGAAAAAGAGGAAAATTAAAAGGTTGAAAGATAGGGAAAAGGGGAATAAACCAATGACAAAGAAGAATGTGGCCAGACTAACAGGTCAAAGGGAGAGTCACATCCAAGGAGTTGGGGCTGTAAAAGGGGAGGGGAGCAGCCACAGCTGAAAAGGACAGAAGGAGGAGGAGGAAGAGGAGGGATGCTGGCACATTTTAAAAGCATTTTGCCTAATATTTAACTTGGAAGGCATTTTGCCTTTGCCGAGCTATCCTTAGCCCATTAACAGTTAATTGCCTCCTTTATCCTCCTGCGTGCTAGGAGGTAACACCTTCAAATGAAACAATGCCATGGAAGATAATTTTGATGAAATGTTTTTTGCTAGGATGGCAGACTAATCCTGCTAAATCTGTTTACAAAAACATCTTATAGACACAAACCATGGCATATTCAACAAGAAAAATAAATTTCAAATCAATTCCAGCATCAATTATACCATTCATTAAAGCAAGGGAAATTAATTTCAACACTTGGAAAAGCTGGTGCAGATTCCTGGACAGTTCCTTTCTCCTGAAACAAACGGGTTTTTAATTCCCTTCATAATTTGTGGTACTCCATTTCATTTACAAGTAGTAGTAAAACTACAGTAAAGAGTACAATACTTAGGCTATATTTTGTCTTTTGGGGAGTAACCTTAAGTCATGTTTCAAATAATTGTTGCACAGCTTTATTGTTCCCCAGAGCTACTGATCCACACTCCCTGACCCCTGTTGCTCTGTGTGGCTGCAGAGATACCTTTGGGGGATGATCTCTAACCGTGCTGCACTCAGGTGCCATCACTGCTCCACATGCTGTGCATTTCCTCTCCTGTTTTCTGCTGCCCTCATCTGCAGCCGAGCTGACCTGGCATTAATGTGTCAGACTCCCTGCACTCTACAGAGGCAATCTTCTTCGATAGATGTTGTGCTTTCCAGTTAAGGAACACATATTACACCAGTGATCTCTGGCACTGAAACCCACACTAATAAAAACTATAACCTTCAGCCTTGAGCCCAGCTGCCCCCTGCTATTAACTTTCCTTTTTAATTTAGAAGGTCCGCTCAGTTTTCCACCCTGCCGGCAGATTTTAATACAATGTGTCAGCTCTGCTCCTTTTCTGCAGCTTAAACATAAACCTCTTTTCTGGAGCAGTGCCAGATTCTCCTGGAAAAGTTAATGAGCAGTGAGAGCTGCAAGCAGCCTTGACCACCCAGACGTAAGGGCGGGGGTGCCCGGTTCCTCTGGAGTGTCCATAAACCTTATTTCCAGGGTCACACAAGGGACCGGTGGCCGTGGTGGTGGGACTGGGAGGCTGCTGGAGAGGTTGGCCTAACCTGTAGCACCAAAACGATGTCTGGCAGTGCCCCCAGGCAGATGCAGGTCTCCCTCTGCCAGAGGAAATGATTTAAGGAGAACTTGTTCTAGTCCATCGTTACCCTTCAAAAAGGCTGGAGGACTCTTTCCTTCTCTCTTTTAGATTGCTGCCAGATTGCACGAGATCTGGCACAGGCTGCAGGGAACATCAGTTGGGCTCTCTGGTTTTTTTCAAGAGCTTCTCACTAAAACATGAGCGGGGCATTGGGAGCCAAATTCTCAAAGATTCCAAGATGCCAGTGTGTCCCCTTGTTGCCAGCTAAGCAATTTACCCCCTTCCTGCAAGGTCAGCAGGTGTTTTATCCTTCTCAAAGGCAAACAAATGAAGGATTTAGGAAGTCAGGAATCCTGCCCAGACTGACAGCTCCTGGCAGCAGGGGGGTCTGTCAGTGACAGATTGGCTGATGTTCCTTGTGGAGGTGGGTATGCAGCAGTCGCCCTCTTGACTGTGGTAGAACTGACTGCTGCACTGGGGAGACCACAGAGATTTTTTTGTTTTGTTTCATGACACTTATTTCAGTAAAATTTAAAGATTTTGTATCGAGGAAGGTGATGCTTCCTAACAAACCATGGCCATTTATCTCTGCAGATTTTCCTCTCTTTTGTAAACATCAGTGTGCTGTTCATCAAAAAGGATCATGGCAAGGCTCTCATTTCATATCAGTCTTGTGCCCTCTTATTTAAGAAAGCTTAAGGCATCCTTTCAGATTTATCTCCTTAAATGATTTTGAGAACTAACTCTGCCAAAAAAATGCAATGCAGTCAATGTAATCTGCAAAACTATCACATTTTGACAAAACAAAACAAGTAGGAAAAAACCCTCAAGCCTCAAAGTAGCTTTGGCATTGAACAGTGAGTCACATTCCCCTTTGGGGAGACAGACAGAAAACCTTGCCTTGTAGCCTTCAGCCTGATTTCTGATGCAGAAAGCAAGATGAACACAATCAGCCTTGCCTCCATTTTGATTTTGTTTGCATAGCATGTTCTTAATTACAGGCTGTTTCAAGAGCTGTGTGCTGTACACAGCCTCTGATAAACAGATAAACATAGCTGGCGTGGTGGCAACTGCTGTGGAAATTATCTGCTCTTCAGCACTGAAGAACTTCCAAAAAATTTTGAAAGTATGGTTAGTTAAATAATCTCTATATTTAACTGTGTGGAGTAAAGAAAACTGCATTATTTCCTTTGCTTCAAGAACATCAAAATGAAAGAAATGACAGAAACTTTGTATAATAACTCAAATCAGAGGCCACTGGGGTGCTATGTGCTTGCTCTGTAGATGACAACAGAGGAGAAATTGAGTACACAATTTCAAAGTACAGTAGCAAGGGAGGGTGAAAGTTAAACCAAACATTCACTATTATCACTAGAACTAAGCAAGCAATTCCCTCATCATACACTCTTTATTTCTGCTTACATACTGCCCCGGGAAGGTGTGTTTTTCTTAAATGTGTAATTTGGAGTTATTTTAGTATGCAGCTCTTTGTTTAAGGTTTCCCACTGAGGCAATCCAGGGAGCTGTCAATGCTCTTTGGAGCTGGCCACAGTCAGTTACCTGCACAAATCCAATGGGTCTTTTTCTGTCACAACCGTCCAAGTGACCTCTGAGAATCAGGTCCCACAGTTAAATAGTCACATTTCTGACTACAAAACTTGCTGCAAAATTTCACCCATCCTCATTAGAATTCACAAACATGCCCCCAGGAAATGCCTGCTGTGAGTTGCTGAAGGCACAGAAGCGTTATGAGGACACCAAGGTAAGCATTACCCCGTTTTGCCCCAGTGATTTTTCAGTGAATGAACAGCTGAGCTCTGTATCCAGCTCTAATACTAAAATCTTCCTCCTTTCCATGACTAAGTTAATGGCAACCAGAGACCACCACCTTCAGCAAGGCCAACAAGCAGCCACAAAAAAAAAGAGCAGGAAGCATTGCTACCACTGTTTTCTGCCCATCTGCCAAAATAACCTTGTAATTAGCTTATTAAAATTGTTTGAGACTGTCTACCTCAGGGCTTCTAGTTTGTTGTATGGAATGTCTAAGAAGGATTTTCAGGATGAATGTAAATCTATTCTCTTTGTTTCACATGATGAAAAGGCTCATTTTCACTGATCATCATTTGTCACTCCTGTGTGTTTAAATAATCAGAAGAAAGTAAGTATTTTTAAAGTCTCTTCCAAATTCTTGAAAGGGAAATTTATGCTCATGGAAAATTTGCTTTGTAACAATATGAAAGTCCCTCCAGGATAAGTAGTCAGCAGGCTGAAGTTAAGGAGGATCTCTCCCCAGTCCAAATATCCCTTGGGCATTTAAAGCAATCTTTACTCTAGTGAGGAGTCATCAGTTTAGTGAATGTTTGATCATTATCTCAATCAGAAGACAGTAACTACTGAAAGATGCACTTAGATAATGAGTGCTAATAAGAGAGCTACTGTGCTGAATTGCACCAGTGACTGGAATTTGTCAGTGCTGTTCTCCAGGGATGTGCCCGGGGGATGCCATAAGCGAGGGCTGCTGTGCCACCAGGCAGTCAGGGATGGTACTGACTTGATTCTCATTAAGTCTTGTGCTTCAAGGGCATCTTCTTCTTTTCAAATCTGAAGCAAGTCACATCCCACATCTCACATCAAGTGAGAAACACTCAGTTCTCTTCTCCCAAATGACTGAGCACAGATAGATGTAAATGCATCTGTCTCACAAATCCTTCCACTAAAATGTACCCTGAGACTCTAGGAGAGGTCTAGAAGGCAAATATGGCTCAACAAGGGAAAATAAACATTATGTTACAGGTTACATGTCGCTCAAGAGGGCGGTGCGTAAAACTGGAAGACAACAGCCACTTGCAGGACAGAAAGGATGCTGGAAAGGTCATTACTCCAAGAGGAGTGATGAGCTTAGCTCCAGGCTCACTGTGTAACACGTTCCAGAACTGACACATTAAATGCAGCATCAAATGTCTGCTGTGCACACAGTAGCCCCTGTGGACCCAGGCACTGTGTCTTTGGAGTGGCTTCCTGCAAGTCAGCTCACAGCAAGGGGAAAACATGACAAGCTTCCTGCAGACAGGTGTGTGGGAAGGAAAGCCCCACCCTGTGTCCCTAAGGCAAGGCAAGGTGGATTTGTGAGACACAAAACTGACAGTCCCAGAGCTATGCTGGTGCTACATTGCAGTGCAAGGGAGGAAGCTTTGCCCTGGATGCATGGGACACATCCCTCTTACTTAGCAGGACTGCCCCCTGCTCTGAAAACTCCTTCAGGGCCCCAACTCTCCCCCACAGGACTGGGACTTGTCTTCCTGGGGTCCTGGAGAATCAAGACTGCATTTTGTCCTGCCACCAAAGGGCTGTAAATCCAAAAGCAGCCTCACTCGGAACCTCATTCCACTGGCATTTGCCAAGCTCTTTCTCTTCCCAAAATCCCTGACAAGGTGAAGGAGGGACAGCCAAGCACAGACAGCTCTGCAGGGCTGTGGGTGCTGGCAGGTGAGCATGGCCCAGGCAGACCCACTGTGGAGAGGAGCCTGCTGTGATGCTCTGTGCAGCTTTTGCATGGGAAAAGTTCCTGGCCGGGACTTAAACCTCACATCCCAAGAACCCTGGGTGGTTTTGCTGTTTTCAGCACCATGACCAGCAGGTGGCTCTGAAGAAGGGCACCCAATAATCACAGCTGCACTCAGATAATGTCCTGAAACACGCCACACAAACACAGAATATTCTGAGTTGGAAGGGACCACACGGACCAAGTCCAACTCATTGAGTCCAACTCTTAAATGAATGGCTCAGATGGGAATTGAACCCACAATGTTGGCTCTCGAAGAAGCAAAAGCCTTCCTTGTTTTACATACATTTCAACTTACAGGTTCAAGAACAGTGATCTTAATTTTAACTTCTCCACTGTTTCTCTTGACACATTGAACTGAACATCTCACAAAACATTTCCCTGATCTGCTGTTTTGATTTCCAGAAATAGCCAGTCCTGAACTGCTCCTGCCCCTACACTCAGGCCTAGATCCCCTGCCAGGGCTGCAGGCTGTGGTACAAGTTTCCCTGTCAAAACCTGGGTGTGATTTCCCCACACAGCTGCAGCAGAAACTACCTGAGCAGACCTTGCATCAGCAGCAGGCCAGAAGGGGCTGAGAGAACGGGCTCCTTCCCGTGGCTACTCACGTTGTAAACGCAGGGTTGTACTTTGCACCAAGGTAGTAAGAGTAAAGGTTGAACATCCCAATCATGAAGGCTAGGAACACCATGATGAAGATGACCATGAACTTGAAGATATCCTTCACAGTCCTCCCCAGAGAGATCTGCAGGGGGCCGAAGCTTTCGTTGGCTGGAAGAATGTAAGCAATGCGGGAGAAGCTGAGTACCACAGCTATGGCATACAGGCCTTCTGAAATGATCTGAGGATCCGAGGGGAGCCACTTGTTCCTGGCTAAAACAATACATGTACACTAGGTGTTAGTAACAAAAAGGGTTAGATGGAAGCTACTATGATACATGACCCTTTTCCAGACTCAATCTTGCATTTGGGTGGGAGTTAAAGAGAAAAAAACAACTTTGGAGCAACTGTTCACTGGACCACAACACGCTGTACAAAGTGAATTAGTTGCATTTTTCATATGATAAAGGTGGGAAATCACCAAGTCACAGGGATTTGCTGAAGCCATGCAGTGAAAAAACCAGCATGGTTTTAAACAAAATTGATATTTTCTGTTTCCTAATTGAATATCAATTCTGCTCTGCCTTCTCCATTTGATGCTTTTGAGATGGAGAACCAAAACCACAACACAGTGGAGTGTAGCTGTAGATTTGGATACAGGGCACTGTGTCAGTATTTGGAAAGGAAGCATTAGGGAGACCAAGATCTTTAGATAAGAAAGTTAGGATTTGTTCAGATAAAGCAGGCATAAACATTGTGTACCATTTTCATGTTACCTCTATATTAAAACCAGTTTCTGAACTCTAGTTACTCTAATATTTTTACTTTAGAGAGCCCCAGATATGCATAATTTACCTAATCTGCTGAAATGTAAATATTTATATTAATATGGCTTATAAGTGTCCTTGCATCAACTGAGGTTCTTGATGGAAAGATTGTGACTCACAGTTAGAACATGTGACATCTTCAGGGCCACAGCAGTACACTTAGGCATTATTTGCAGTAATTTGAGCCAAAGGAAAAGCAACAGATGGAGGAATTCACAGGATCTCACTGGGATATTCTGTTCTGGACCCCTTGCACCTTTGTATCATGAACTCACTTTAAATGGGTGAGCAGAAAGCCAGAGAGGGAAAAGCCACAACACCATCTCTGTGGCCTCTTGCTTGCATGGGCAGAGAGGGATGCAAGAGGCTGAGCTGGTGGGGCCACCCAGACCCCGTGGCTCTGGAGCTGCTGTGGGTCAGGCACGTGGCTCTGGGGCTGTGTGTGTGGGACTTGTCTGCAGTGGAGGAAATGCTGCCTCAGGTCTCTTCTCTAGCCCAAGCACAGCGCTAGAACAACCACCACACAGCCCTAGGGAACAGGTGGAGCTCCTTGGTGCTCAGTCTGGAGCTCCTGCAGCCCCCCTGTGAGCAAAAATCCCCATGGATTCTGCCCAGGGTGCCATCTAGAGCTTGCAGAACTCTGCAATGCCTCCCCACACACGTGTGAAGCTCTATTCATTTTTGTACAGCAAAGGAAAACCATTTCAGCCATCCAAAATAACATTTTCAAGGCACTGATGTGGCTTGCATTTCCTAATGTCAGCACTTATAGGTGATACAGGCTCCACAAAAATGTAGGTTTTGACGAGCAGCAGCTATTTTTATTGCTATTTTTATTTATTTTTATAGAGGTGTTGGATGTAACAGAAATGCAGAGTTACTGCAGCCTCAGATTCTGTATTTGTTCACACAACTCCTGCCTCTCTCATTTGGAAAAACCAAACAGATTAATTAATCTGTAATTCTGCTCACTCTGAGATGATGATTATCTGTCGCTCAAGGTAAATTTTCAGGATGTGATTGACCTGAAAGTAGCTGTAGCACAAGAGCAGAGGCTGAATGAGGTTCAGATCCTTTCTGACTGCTTAGAAAGATGGCTGGAATGGGTAGATCTAGGGAAAATAATTTGGTTTGTTTAGGAAAAAACTATATAAATAGCAGAAATAAATAGCTTTCAGTAGTGCCACACATTAACCTAACAGAACAGGAAGTATTAGATAGCAAAAAGTATCTTACCATAGGTAAAGTAAGCAACTTCAGGGGGAAGGGTGACATTATTGAGGTCATCATCTTGAACGTACTGATCTACGTACTGTTGTGCCTCGGACGCTTTAAGAAAAGCCATGAACCTGGCAGTGAATGATGCTACGAAGATGGACAGCATCCCAAAGTCCAGCAGATTCCAGAGATGCACCACGTACTCACGTGGACCCTCCTCCCAGATCTCCTTGCACTCTGACCATATCATACCTGTGGAGGGATCAGAGCATCTGTAACTGGCAAACACAGAAGGTGTTTTTGTATTCACACAGATCTGTTTCCTGTTTGCAGTGGCTTCTAAGACCGAAGCAAGACTCTTTAATTAAACAAATTTATTGAGAATGTCACCTTTTCTTAAAAAGTAATACAACCTTTTAGTTGAAGTGTGTCCTTCCATGCTTATGAAGCAGAAATCTCAAACTGTCACTATATAAGTCAATGGGAAAGCTGATTTCTGATGATGACAGGAAAAGCACCGTTCAGAAATTCTGATGACACTAGAAAATTCTACTGCTGATACAGTCAGAAAAAATGCAGATTTCCTCTCTTGTCCCCAAAATGACCTTCCTACACCATTGCACTGAAGATGGCACTGCCTGCTCTGCTGCTCTTTTCCTCCTTCCCTAAAAGAGTGTGTGTGTCCATTTTAAGAATGCAAACAGAACAGTTCAAGAATAAGTTTAGTATGATTGAAAAAGGGTAAGACAGAAGTTCTACCCATCCAATTTCATAAGGCTTTCTGTATTAAATAATGAATTTCCATATATTAAAGTCTGATCTACCACTTTGGAAACACTGAATTTAGCCCAAATTAATGATTTCTGACAACAGACTTACAAATGCCAACTTACTAAATGCCAAACCCAGTGAATTCAAGTATTTGACATCCTGCTGGGAAGATCTAGGGTGGACAAGTGAATTCAGTCAAAGAGCTCAGGCCAGGTTCACCAATTTTCCCAAATTTCAGCACCAGCAGGACTCCAGGGCTGAAATCTTACTCCTGAATAGCTAAAGTGCTGGAATATTTAACCCACTGATAAATATTTCCTGTGCTCTACCCAGTCCTGTTTCCATAGCAGCAGCAAAATTCACTTTTAATCAAGAAGGAGCAGCGCCTGCCAATTTCCATGTGACCTCCTGCAATCTTCTCCTTTCTGTGAACTCCTTTCATCCTCTCTGCTGGAAGCTCTGGTGGTGTGGCATGTAAATGCATTTGCTTGGCTACTTCTGAACCTCCTGGAAGCACAGGGTGTCCCCAGAGATGCTCTGGGAAGCCGGGTTACAGGGAGGGAAACAGGTCAGTGGGAATTTAGCCGGAGGCTGGAGGAGTGGAGAACTGCTGCTGTCACTCCTTGTGCATGGGGAAGGATTTAAAGAGAAAAAGGAAAGCTGGGTTATCCACAGCACCATCAGCCAAGGTCACAGAGAGCCCACGACCTCCACAGCCCTGGAATCTCCCTGGAGATCTACCCTGATACAGGTTATGCCCAGTATTGGTCTGTCTGGGAGAGAGCCTGAGATCTGCAGAATGCTGAGCAGAGGCGAGTGAGACTTAATAAAATAGCCTAAGGGAGAAGGTGGGAAAATTGGTTTCTCAGGAATTTTCCTGGAGCAAGGATGAAATATTAAAGAAACATTTCTACTTTGAATAAAAACCATTCCAGAAATGATGGATAGGAGCCATTATCCCTGTGCATTACACATGTGTGCTTTATGAAGGTACTAAAGCACTTAAGGAAATAACACATGCGTGGTAGCATTGCCCAACAAAGCACTTGCTCACCAATGACCAGAAATTACTCCCATCCAAATTTATTTCTAATTTTGCTCACCTAATATACCTAAATCACAGATTAATGAAGTAAGAAGTGCTTAAAACTGAGAAGTCTGACTAAAATTAGAATCCCTCTGTAAAAGTAAGATGCTACTGGCTTATAATTTCCACTGTTCTTTTCCCCAGCTTTGTGGCAATAATTTTTAAAAAATGTCTATTCAGGCCAAGTAGAAAAGTTATAGTAATTACTTGGTCAGTACTGCTGGGTAATTGAATATACCTTGTGAGAGAGTAATTCAAAGCTTCTCCTTAATAAAAGTATTGAGAAGGGAAAAATCAGGTAAAATGCAGGGGATGGGACATAAGATGAGGTGTAAGAAATAAGGAGAAGCAGTTAGACAAAGCAGCTCTGCCAGGATGTGATTATATTCCAGTGTGGTTCCTGAGGCCCCCAGTGGCTCTGGCAGGGGTCATTTCCCTGAGTTTGATGCTCAGAGATGCGGGATATGAGCAGCTCCTGGATCCAGCTTCTGCATGTCTCTTGTTCCCACAGCAGGGATAATCAGAAATGTCACCTTGATGGGCAATTCTGGTTTCAGAAGGGGAAGGAGAGTCAAGATACAGGCACAGTCCATCTGGAAGAAAAATGGGAGTGTGCAAGAAGTGCTGCTCACCACCTGTGCACAAAAAGGAACAGTTTGACAGATTTTTATATCCTCTGGCCTGGTACATAAATCAGGAGCAGCTGATGTTGCAGAGTTGCCTTTGAGCCTTCCTGGGCCCACCATAGGCTGTTGGATTAAGAGATTAAGAGTGTTCAGATTGCATCTACCCAGACTTTAACTGCTGCTTTTGCAGTGGGGATTTAGAAATAAACCCCCTTGCTTTCAGTGCACATTTCTGCCCCTACTGCCCACGAGGAAAAGGCCAGCCTTCCTCATTTGAAGGCAAGAGATGGGAAGACCTGGCCACAGGGAAGAGGCAGCCAAAGCATGTAATGAGCCCTGGATGCATGAGCCAAAGCTGCTGTGCACCATGTACAAAGGGATGTTGGTCTTGTTTAACCTCATGAGACCCCCATGGTTCCTTAAACTTGTCTGGATGATGCATCCCATCCTTCAGGTGTGTCAGCCCCAGCATTTACCGTCTGCCATCTCACTAAGGGTGCACTTGAGCCCCCTGCCTGTGTCATTAAGGCTGTATTAAATAACACTGCTCTCAGTACAGAGCCCTGAGGGACACCACTTGTCACTGGCGTCCATCAGTGGAGAGTGGCTCCACAACACAAAGTGCTTCTTATCCATCTATCACCCATCAAATCCATCTCTCTGGTTTAGAGAGAAGGATGTTGTGGGGATCCATGTCAAAGGCTTTACAGAAATCCAGTTAAATGACATCTGCAGCCTGCCCTTGTGCACTTACACAGTCACTACATCAGAAAAGGCCACTAAGTAGGTCTATGTTGGCCACTTTAATTATATTTCTACTTGCATATAGGTATTTATAGTGCCTATAAGATTTTAGCACCAGAAATTGCTACCCTTAGTGCTTCTACAGGTCCAGGGTCACACACAGGGCCCAACAAGTGCAGATGTCTGCAGGCCATGTGCACCAAACTTTCACCTCAGTATTGCTGAAACATTACTTGAAGCTTTAAGGAGACAAGCAGGTAAAATGGCCAGAGAAGACTGTCAGTGCAGATGTAGGCAGTCATTAGAAAATCTCATTATATCCAGGAGTCTGTACAATGAATCACCTTTCTTCTCCCAGAAAAGTGAAAACCTTCACTTTAAATGAAATGGTTTTTTCTTCATCTCTCAGGAACTCAACAAGCAGACAGATACCTACTGCCCATAAGAAAAAAAAAATACCTAGTTTAAAATCTAATCATCTTGTCCAACTGCTTTATTATAATTTTAAAAATATATCTTACAGTCTTACTCTATCCAGTCTGGCATCTATTCAGTATTTTCTAGCCTAATATCCTGTATGGGATTCTGATTATTGAGGGGACAGGGGACAAAGAAACATTGGCCAGGAAGTCATCAGATAGAGCAGCCATATCCTATTTTTCAGGGGAATTTAATGCCATCAGTACTTATGGAACAGTGGAATTACTTGCTGCAAGAAAAGAATGAAAATCATGGTGGTGAGCAAAAATAGCTATAGAGGAGGTAGAAAAAGATTCAACAGAGTTGATAAGCTCAATTTCCTGATAAATTCTCCCAAACTTGTTTAGATTAGTGGTTCAAACTAAGTGACCTGCCATGAGTAAATGATGCCTGAAGGAAAAGTGAGACATCTGAATTTGTCTGAAACTCCTTAGAAATTTAACCTGTGCATGTGGCGCACTTTTGCACTCAAAGGGTTCACCCACATGAATCCTTACTTTGTAATTGTTGAATAACTTAATTTCTTTTATAAGATTTGAGCACTGCACTGTCCATTCTCACCAGCAAAAATATCATACTAGGAATTTCATAAAATCCAGCTCTTACTTGCCTAGCAGGTTTCATCACTAGATCTTGGAGTGCATTACAAAAAAAGCAAATGACATTATACTCATTTTGCAGACAAAGACACTGAGGTTCAGTGAATTACAGTGGGATCCCATGGCAGGTTAATTAATCAGACTCACCACACTTCTTTCTGCTCACTTTGTCCCAGAGTGAAGCCACAAGTTTCTATTACAATATTACCTTCTTTAAGATGTAATGTTTAAACCAACAGAGCTCAATAGGCAACATCTATAGCATTTACTATGGAAAGTGGAAAATTCAGGTAAATGAGAATTTGCTAAGCATCATGCAATGATTTCAAAAGTGGTGACCAAGATCAAAGTCTTCTTTGCTCCTCTTTTAATCAAAACTCTTGACATCAATCTCTAGACTCATAGTGGGATGTTTCAGTTTTGGGGAGTTTTCTTGGTTTGGGTTTTTTGTTTGTTTAGCTTGGGGTTTTTTTTTGGTTGGTTGGTTGGTTGGTTGGTTGGTTTTTTAATTTTTTTTTCTTTGTCTTGTCACTATGTATCATGCTATTCCTAATGAGGTTGAATTTCCACAGAGGACTTGTAGACATTTTGGTTTTACTTACCCAATACCCACTTCATGATCAGCAATTCTGTCCATGAGAACTGGGTTGTTTTGACCCTGAATATTTGTTTTGGATGATCTGTGATGGTCTCGTTGGGGAGATTTTTGACTCCTTCAAACCGATCTGAAGCGTTCACTACTAACAGTCCAAGGAAGATTGTGAAAGAAACTGCATGAGCCACAAACTTCATGAAAGGACTCCGAAGGGTACGTCCCAGCTGCAATGGAACATACACAGTCATAAGGTTTTTTATGAAAACACCTCCTAGAAGTTTTTTCACTCTAAAAATCTGAAACCTTTTGCCTACGGTGAAAAGGATTCAGTAATTGATTCTGGATCATTAGCTAAATAGGGTTGAGATTTGTTCAAGTTGTTATTTGCTATTACTAGACATTATGCATTGGGTAATTTTCTATGCATGGCAATGTGTTACAATGCCCCTTTAAACCCACATGCAGTATCTCATTGTCCTGGCCATATGGAGAGTGGAAAATGAAGAGACAGGGCATTTTTAAGAGAGAGATGTTTGCTTGTGTCTGTGTTATATGAATGCACTAGTGTGTCAATATAAATTCTAATGATGGACACAATTGTCATCCTTAAATCATTGTTATATGCTAGGATCGTTTATTAATTGTGAATTCCTCATTCATTATCAATGTGCTAGAAATAACCTTCTGTTTAAATATTCTTTAGTAATGCTTTTCATATGCTTTGCTATGATAGTCTTCTCTCATAATTAGTACAAAAGCTGGAGAATTACTCCCAGAACACAAGGATTTATTTCAAGACACTAAGCCAAGAACAAGAGCAGCAGGTCTCTTCACTACAGATAATTGTTCTGTTCTTCTTGAAAAGCTTCCTTCGTTAATGAATTTAAATATCACTCTTTTAATTTTACATTTTCTGTGAACCAAGAAAACATTACTCCAGAAAGACAGAAAGAGTAGAAGCATTTTCAGGAGCACTAGGGCTGAAGCCTGTAGTGTTGGACACAACAGGAGCAATGGAAAAGCTGGCCTGGATGGGGCCTTTCCAAACTCCCCTCAAAGCCAATTGGATTTTTTTTTCAGTATATTACTCATGGATTCATTCCCCTTGATGCCAAGGTATCATCCATTTTTTATTAATATCCACAGATTTGATAATAAAACTTCATAGGAAAAAGGACGTAAAAAGGAAATTACTTGTTTTCGTATTTATCTCCAATAGCAGATTAATTCCAAGGAGCCCTGGTCTCTGCTTATGGCAGAACAGGAAATATTTCAAAAGAAGTCTCTAGGTCTAGCAGAAATTCAAAGGAAGTCCTAGGATTCAGGGGTTTATTTCTTTTTCTGATTAGAGTTTTTAAAATGTCAATAAAATATGTTATAAAATTGACAGAATGGGAAATCCTGTTGGAAGATGTGCATGTTTCTAAATACTGGAGAGACTTTTCATTAAAGAAAATTAAAATATCTGCTCTTTCCCAAGGTTCTTATTAATGTTATCTGAGTCCAATAAGGATATGTTTAATTTGGTAGATATTGCACTGATTTGAAATCCAGGTTTATTTAATCTTGTCTAGGCAGACATAGGAGTGAATGAAGAGTGTCAAAACCAGTCTCAACACCTGCAGTGAGGTCACCATTAGTGTAGTTCTCAACAGTTTTTTATGGTTGATGTTGTGTAGATTTATGCTTTGTAGTAGAATTTATAATTCCAGTACTGAGCTGATGGGGTGATGGGACAGGTCTGAAAAATGTCCCCCACAGTAATAATCTCAGATGTTTTCCTCCTGTGACCTGAGAGAGTTCAGATTTCAAGAGTAAAGTGGAACAACAGCCATGGATCCTTAGCAAGAAGTTTTTAAGAAACTGCATTTGCAATCTCTATGAGACTCATTTCTACCCTGAATTCACTGAAAGAGAAAAAGCACTACCTATTGCATCATGAATCCTCTCCACATAATTACACTTTTTCTGCAGTCTGTAGAAGTGTAAAAAAGAAAGACCTTAGATTAAAGTAGCATAGTCTCAGTTATCAGAGAAATAATCCCATGTATTACAGAACCAAATGAATTCCATGGGTAATTTCCTTTACTTCTCTCATGTTTTAACAGAAATCTGCATTTAGTTAGCGTTACATCAGCCATTTGTCCCATTTATTACTGCAGAAAGCTTACCACTATTTTCTTGAGCTGATGCTTTTTATATCTTCTCAGAAATCTGATTTTTAGCTAAGAGCTACAGGTGTTGACTAAAATATTCCATAAAAAATTAATGAAGTGTCAATTCCTCCATCCAGTCTAATGCTTTATGACAATAAGATTTTTCAAACAACATGATACAGCTAAACTCAAGGTGCATAACTGCATGAGTGTATCACTTTCTTGATTTTTTAGAAAATCAAAATGCCACCCTTCATCAAACCAGGATTTCAGGGTAGTGTCTGGCTGTTACTACTAAGATAGAAACACTGACAGTGTGTGAATACAAAGGTTCACTCTTAAGAGAGTAGATCATTTCATGACTTAGTATCGTATCTCTATGATAGAAAAATAATGAAACATACATTCATGTCAAAGCAAAAATATATTGTGTGATATCATTTTAATCTTAACTGATTATTACTATGGAAAAAAATATTTCTTTGCCCAGTTGTGTAACATCAAGATTGTCTCCATCAGTAAAAAGCCAAATAAAACACTTGTAAAGTTGACCAGGACAAAACTGGGCTGCTCAGAGTGGTGACACTGCCTGTGTAGAATTTTCTGCAAAACACTGTGAGAGGATATCAGGCTCTTGGATCAACCTGCAGCTCCTGAAATTAACAGTGATGATTTTGGGTGAAGTACCAATTCTTAGGGAAAAAATTGCGTTTGTTATTCAGTTATTTCTATCACAGGCCCCAATCAAAAATCAAGAATACATTGTTCTGATCAAGGTAAATGCATGCATTAAAAGACAGTACTTGCCTGAAAGAAATTTCAATTGGACTTTGTGCTAGAAGGTTACATGTGGCTTTTCACAGTCTAGTGGGGTGAAAAGGAAGGAACATTGAAAAATGAGAATGTATGAAAGGTTCAGGATAATGAAATCAAAGCTGATGAAAAGTATCTTTCCTCCTGTCCTGGTTTAGGGCAAATTTGAGAGGAAACCTCTGAATGAGGTCCTTCCAGAAAGCAAATTCAAGCAGTTCCTCCCCCATCTGGTTTGGGAAGAGATTTCCTTGGAGAAAAGTGGAAAAAACTGTTTATCTAACAGAAATTGAATAATAAACAATAAAACTTTTCACTGTTTGAAGAGATGGCAAATCCAGAATAGTCCTTTTCATGGGGTGTAGCTCGGCCTGCTCAGTCTCTCATCAGAGCCTCCTGCTCTGGAAAGTGCCGAGGCCCAGGCCCTGGTGGGCCACAGGGGTGAGCTCCTGGGGTCTGTCTGGGGTTGCAGTCCAGAGCAGGTTTGAACAGATCCAAGGAAAAAGCGGGGGAAAATCCAGTCTGGGGGACTTCTGTGCCTCAGCTCTCTGAGATCTGACTGCAAGCACAGGAGAGCTGTGTCCCATTGTCTGTCCTGGGGGGTACGAGCATCATAAAGTCACCCCAGGACTCCTCCCCTTTTTAAATTTTAATATACCTCCCTCAAGAAATTAAAACCAAGTAACTTTCTCAATAATTTCTTACTGCTGCTGTAAAACTGTTTTAGTTTTAGTTTTTAATTTTAGTTTTAGTTTTTTTAGTTTTAGTTTTGGGGGGGGAGGTTGTCTCCTAAATTTCTTTCCCTTCAGTTTTTATGTTTCTCTTTTAAATTCTCCACTTATTTCTAGTCTAATTGTTCTTCCCAGATATTGCTCTCTTCAAATGTGGCTTCTGTAATTCTGAGACTGCACCACAAGTGTTGCTGTTGGCTGGTGTGCCCACTCCCAACACGTTCAACAGAGGTGAAGGAAATTAAACAGCTTCATAAACTCCTGCTAGACTGTGCTCTGACATGAGGGAATCGAGGTGGTAATTCCACACAATTCCTGCCACGATCCAGCCAAATCCTCCAGCAGCACAACCTGGCTCTCACATGCACTGCTCTGTGAGCACCTCTGGAGTCCTGTCTGGTACCCATGAAAAATGAGAGGCCTTGTGTTGATACATTCCAAGTGCTGGGTAAAAATGCCTGGAATGAACCAATGAACCCTGCACACCACCAGGAATTTGTACCTTGCTGCAGGGAGCGATCCAGTACGCTATGGCGAGGAAGGGCAGCCCGATGGAGACCCCAAAGACAGCCAAGAACTTCACAGCTATGGATTGCTGCCGTAAGCCTGAGAGGTTTTCATACCACATGGTGAGCAGTTGCTGCTGGCAGTTGGGGTGAGCAACAAACTGTAAAAAAAACAGAAATAGGGACATCAATAGCATTGTCTGAAGAGGTTGAGATTGCAGGGAATAACCTTCTGAACTTGCCCATGGAACATGACAGGTCATGTCTTTGTTGTCCAACACAGAAACAGAAACCTGCAAACCAGGCACACAGGACCCCCAGGTACTGGCAGAATGTGCATTGCTTCTGCTCCCTGTCTCCTCTAGAGAAAAGCTATTTTTATATGATTAAAAAGCAGAATGTCTGAGCCAAATCCCAAAATCCATCAGTGGTCAGCACTGACAAAATGCCTCTAAGTTACGTCTTGGGGTAAGACAGTGTACCCTGAGATTCAGAAAAGACACAGAGGTGCTCAGGAGTCAAGCTGAAAAACACCATGATGACTTTGTTAAGGACAGAGGCCTTTGACACAGCAGCTTAACACAGTGCTAATATTATATTGTTCTATTCACTTTGTAAAGACCAAAAGGGAGCCATTCTGCAGGGCTCTCCTGCAAGTTATGAGATCTGGCTGGTGTTTTGCTACTTTAAATGCTTTATCTCAGAGTACCTTTCAAAATATGACAGCTCATTCTTTACTGATAGGACAAAAGGACAAATTCAAAAGCCAAAGGAAAAGCTGTGGTGCTCTGGTACAGAAAGTACCTGTTTTGTACCCTGTAACTGAGACTCTTCAGTTTACTGTTCAGAAGTAAAAAAAAGAGGTAAAAGAAAAGATGAGCAGCAGAAAAGTGAAAAGGGCAATTTCTTGATGGTAAAATTACAGCACCACCAGATCCTACCTAAACAGTCTTATAATAAAAGTTTGAATTTCTTTAGTTCATATTGTTCTTTGAGGTGATTGAATTTAGAATGTGGCTATCTTTAATCACAAAGAAGGATAATTAAAATGCAAAATAACAGAAAGAAAAAATGAAAAAGAAGTTATGTTGTTGATGCAGCTAATTGCATTAGTAGAACCAAGGGTTCCATTTATTAGTTCAGTAACTGAATAAATGCTCCTAGGAGGGAAATGTAAAATGCTCTACTCTTTCAAAGAGCAGAACTTTCTGGAGGTGAAGGGGAGGATGAAGTGGGTCAAGAAAAAAATGAGAGGAGGAAAGCGGAGGGACCATGCCTGGCAGCTGCCCCTTGCCCTCGAACAGCCCTTTAAGCTTCACCCAGCTGGAGGATTTCAGCTGTCATCTGTAGTTTTCTTGGGACTGAAAAGCAGAGAAAATTCTAACTGTGCTCTCATCTTCACTATCTGTGAACCGATTTGGGAACTTAATGGACTCTTTTTGAGATGTTTGCATAACAAAACTGTTATTGTTCAGGAGGAAATACAGTTGCAAAGTAATTAGGATTACTCTGGAGTAACACTTTTCCTTCATTAAGAGCACATTAGCAGCTGTTTAAAATATGCTTTTGAGATGAATTAGACTTTGGGGTCTACATTTCTCAAAAAGAAAAAAAAACAAAGAGACTCTACACCTTCCACTGAATAAATCAATCAGAACTAAGAAAATTGATGGGTACGTTTAACCTCCTTTATCTTTAGAATATTTTCCTGGAAATATTAACATTTTAATATGCTTTTTTGTAATCTGCTTTCATGAAAAAGAGGGCTTTCAAAAAAAGATTATTATAAGTCATGAGTCCTAGTCCTTCTGAGCATTTAAAATTTAAGGCTGAGGTGATGACAGGAGTATTACAAGGAGGCATTACATTCCTAATGCCCGGTGTTTATGTTTGTCCTAGTGTTGTTTGGGCTTGTTATCTTCCTGGCAAAGGGACAGAAACATGAAATGGAAGGAAGCTCAGTAGAGAATTGATCCCTTTTGCAAATTTTATTTTCAGATATCATGAATTCAACAACACTTGTAGTGACTCATGGAAAGGGGAATGACACTGGTGAGTGTGCAGACTTCTGGGATGAAGGGCCTGAGCAATATCCAAACTTCCTCCTCCTGTTGCAATTGATCACTGCATTATGAGAATTGATTCAAACAAAGAAATCCAGTTGTCCTTGGCAATGAGACAGCCAAAGACTTCTGGTTGGCATTTCAGAGACTTCATCAGACATTTTAATCTGTCCGTTTTTTCACTTGGTCTGGAAACAGCTACAATGAAAATACAAATATAGGAAATTTGAGAAGGAATTGCCATAAAACCCAGTTCAGTGGAACAATTTATTTTGTACAAGGCAATAAAGACAGGCAGAGGGCCGTAGAGCCTAGAGGGTGTTCATCTGCCATCTGTTTGGCCCATATCCTCCCATTCCCCACACCACTCAGGATTTTGCACTCCCAGGCCTGCTCCTGGGTCAGGGGTCTCATCAGCTCCTCTGGACATCTCAGCCCCCACTCTAGACACACTCCAGGCCCTACAGAGGAAGCTTACCAGATGGAAACCAGGAAAGTGGTATCCTTAACACTCAGGGAAAACTGAACATTCTCAAAAAGTTGAACAAATTCAAAGAAGAAGGGAAGGAAAGGCTGGAAAGCTTCATCCCTTGCTCCTCCTCTACCAAACTGGGTGGAGTTACTAATAAACCCCCAAAACTTGCTACTGGGACTGGGAGGCAGGGTAGGACAAAGAAACCACAGACCATACATGTCTTGAACATACTCCAGGACCTTTGTAAACTCCCTATAAATCATTATCACCACGCCCAGCAACATAGCTACTCTGCCCCTCTTCTGTAAAAGCTAGTGTTTGAGACAATACTGGAGCTATCTCCAGGTGAGAAAAGAAGCCTCGGGACTAGAAAGGTCTTAAAACCTCAAAGTAGCCTAGGGACCAGAGACACATGAAGGCCTCTACTCAGAGAGACATTATGAGTTCAAGCAGCATGGATGTGACTGCTTTATCCCAATACAGAGTAAGTGAAACCAAATGAAATCAGTACAGGCTTTTTCCACTTTCTCAAGCTCCACATTGGGCACCAAAAAGTATTTGTCCTGGTTTAGGGCAAATTTGGGAGGAAACCTCCAAATGGGGTCCCTCTAGAAAGCAAATTCAAGTGGCCCCTCCCCCAGCTGGTTTGGGAAGGATTTCCTTGGAGAAAACTGAAAAATGTTTATATAATAAGAAAAGTACTCACAAACATGAAAAAATGAATAATGGAATATTCTCATTCTTGTAATAATGGAACCTCTCGTTGTTCTGAGGAGATGGCAAATTCAGCCAGTCCTTCTGTGGATGGGAAAGAGTCCTTTTTGTGGGGGTGGCCTCAGGTTTTGCTCAGTCTCTCCAGGGGTTGGGTCAGCACAGCTTGGAGGGCCCCAGAGCACAGTGCTGGTGTTCCCAGACTGAACAAGAGCTGAACAGCTCCAAAAAAAACTTCTGGCCTCAGCTAACTAAAACCAACCTAACTAAAATCAAAGGAGAGCTCTCTGCTGCTCCCTGACTGTGCTGCAGACAACACAGTCTGAGAGAGAGAGAGAGCTGAAGCTCCTATCTCTTATGTTTTTGAATACAGATGCAAAAAAACCCCACTGCTTTTTCTTCTCCCCCCTTCCCTCTTGGATCGAGTTTTAAAGGCTCAAAACTTATTTCTGGGCTAAACAGATGAATGGGGATACAATTCAGCATCATAAAGTCACCCCAGGGCATCATCTTACTCTGATTATTACAAAAATAAGGGAAAGATAAGTTAAGGGTCAGAAAGATCAGAGCATGAATGAGTTTTGATCTGTTATTTGTTTACAGCAAGCAGTACAGTTTTCATTCTTTTCTCTATCAGGCATTAATGAAACACACAGTGACCCTTGGGCACTGCCAGCCCTCTCTCTATCAACATTTCAGAAACTGATCTAAGATCTCCTCAGAGATGTTACAGAGCCATTTAACTTTCTCTCTTCCCTGGGAATGGGCACTGACACCAAGTTAAAGATTACACTAATGCTTTGGTTAGTGACTTAGGCACGGAGGAGAACAGAGCTGAAGACAAAAGCGTCAAGGCAGAATGCTTCAAAGCATAATGACAAATGGTGATGTGTGATATTGAATTTCAGAGGACTGAATGCTGCAGTGCTTTTTCAATGTTCCCATTAAACGTTATTTTCCTTTCTTCAGTGCTGGAAAATGAGGCGAGGAGGCTTTTAGGGACAAACTGTGGATGCTCCTGTGCTGCAGACAAGAAAGAGTGGTGTGGCCAGGGCTGTGCAGAAGGGCAGGATATCTCTGATTGAAATGGAAGCACTGGCAGTGGAGGGGATTGCCTGGCTCCAAAACCAGCCACTTAAAAGCATTGAGTGCTTTATCTCCCGAGCAGAGTCAGTAAGGTAATGCATCAGGATCTGCGAGCTCAAGCAAAATGTTTTCCAGTGCTCCTGCATTCAGAAACCACGGTGGGAGCTTTGCTGCTCCCATGGCCCTGCGATCCCAGTAGATGGCAGTGGTTTTTCCTGATACCGTGCATACCTCTTGATAGAGGAAGGAAATTGTTCTTCCCTCCAGACGATCAGTCACACAGCTTTTTTAGTTAAAAAAGGCTAAAAAACCCATAATAAAATCACATATCAATCAGCTCAAATAATGAAGCCACCAAGGTAGCATTTTTCAGAGGCAGTGAATGACTTAGGAAGGTATTGACACCTCCAAAAGCCCCTGTCATGTGCTACAGGGGATTAAATGAGAGACATGAATATTTACCTGGAATATGGAAAAAAGTTTCTCAAAGACTTCAGTGGGTGTTGAAAGGACCCAAAGGAAGAGTTTTACATATAGGAATAAAGAGGGTGTTTCAGAGACCACTGTGGATACCATATTGTGATCACTTTTCAACATTTCTATCTAATTTGATGTGTGACAGCTCTTTCTGGTAGCTTGATGTGTTATATGCATTATGGGGAAACATTTTTGTCTTATGACAGAATGAGAGATTTTCCTTAGCATAGTTGTTCATAAAAGTAGGAGTTTCACTCCACAGATGATAAAGTACTTTCATAAACATATAGAAAGTTACTTCTGATAAAGAACAGTGTAATAGAGAGACTTTTATTTTATTTTATTTTAT